TAATGTTATGTATGAATTTATGTTACGCTGTGTCAGCTATGTGGTGGCGGCAGTAAGAAAATTCATCAGTTGATTTCGCCCCGATGGTAATATTTATTGATATACAGCAAAACTATTATTATTGTTATTATTATTTATGTTTCTCGTTATGTCATGAAATAGTTTTGTGTTATTATTTTTTGTGATTTGTTTTGACAGGAAAAACGGTTAGCCTTTTCAGACAATTTTATTTGTCACAAAGCTTCATTGTTTTATATTAAACCAGCTAGCTCTGTAGACGTTGTTTAAGCCTTTCATGTAGGTGACGAGATGAGTTCACTCCAGACTTTTACAGTGTAAATATAAAATTGGTTGAAAAATGGCGCCAGCGGCATCTATCGGTTTTTGTTGTTGTGTTTAATGTTTTGGCACTAAAAAAACTTAATATAATATTATTGTGAATAGTAGTCATTTTGGTAAATGTATGCCGGATGTTTGTGAAACGCTTACGAAAATGAAGACAGACGATCGTACTTACGATGTGGATCATAAAGAAAACCGATCCCGAGAAAAAAAACATATTTTCACAACGTTATAGTCGCTTTATTCACGCTCCATCATGTTAGTACAGCTAACTGAAATGATAATTTCATAAAAAAATCATAAAAATACTTAAACATCAGCAGTGTAATTTAAAGTCAGCTGACTAATGCCAAGATTCACGCGGATGCCGAACTCTTTTATCTAGCTCGGTACGAAACAATGCATTAGGTATTACTACTCACTCTATCCTTCCCTATCACACACGCGCTGCCGCCGCCCGGCTGACTCGTATTGCCTCGCACTGTGCAATTAACACATGTCAGCTTTGCCAACATGTGGGGAAATCCCCCAAATTGCGGGGAATGTAAATTTGCTTGGGGATTTTTTGGGGATTGGTATTATGCGGTGAAAATGCGTAGATAGAATAAAATTGAGGGGAATTTCTGGGGAATCTGTTGAAGTTTTGTCCTCAAATTGGGAAATTTGACATGGATTGTCAGGGTGTTTGAAAAGTTGGTGTTGGCAACGCTGCCATGTTGCACCGAAATTTACCTAATAAGATTTACCGACATAAGAATTAGAGGCGGCAATCACTATAAAACTTACTAAAATTTTTAATAGTTTTGACGTACTGCTTTTTAAATTCAAAGTATTATAGATAGATTAATTAACTGTCGATCATAATTGCAATTGATTTTAACTATTAAATTATTCAGTACCATTTCTTTTATATTTTCCTGTACAAAATCAAAGATAACGATGAAATAGTGTTTATAATTGTGTAAGTGAGTACTGAGGACCCAATTTGAATCTCTCTTGGCTTGAAGCCAAATATCGAGTTAAATCAAAGTTAGGAGAAGTTGCTTAGGTATTATATGAAAAACACAAGCAATGTAATAGGTTTATTAATAAAATTTGAGGTTTTCAGTATTAAATGAAACGTTGCTAAGCACGCAAAATTACAAGTGTGTAGGTTTAATAACGTTAATTAACTCACGGTAACCATAACTCAATGGAGGGTTCAAAATGGTTCATGTAATTTAGTTTTGTTATAATCAATTCCTTTCGAGAATTTAATAACCCCATTATTGCAATAACTACACGGCACGGTGCACTTGTCTTGTTGTATTCCGCTACTAGCTCATCCTTGACACGTTGGATATTTAATCATTCTCAACTATAAAATTACTCTCAGTACAATTTATAGTTGATTAGCTCTGTCCATATCAATGTGATTTTCATAATTGGTTTGATCTGTGTATTTCGTAATTGTATTAAGTGATATATTGTAAATTAACCTTACTAAGACCAAGGTCTACCTGGGTTTCTTGCTAGTTCTTCCCAGGGCAGGGGAATATGTTTTATCCGAACCAGTGGTGGTAGTACCGTATAAGACTAGTAGTGAATAAGAGTGATTACATTCTATTCTAAAGCCTTTTTCATTGTGATTTTACATTTTAATATCTTCCTAGATACTTATTGAAAGTCAATTTTACTGGGAAGAACTAGCAAGAAACTGAAGGAGATTTTTTTCAAAGTTATATACAATCAAAGTTAAACACAACGGATGAGAAATTAATTTAAAATTTACTTCATAAACAGCTGGGAAGCAATCACCTAGTTTCCAGGGGTTATTATTAACAATGTAGAAAAAGAATAATGTTCGCATATTGACACAAAACCTCATACACATAAATTGCAAAGTATACCCAACAATGGATTCAAAAAATTGATATTTAGGAAGATTCGTCGAAAATGTATAATATGTCGAAGCTAACAGAAAACTTTTCAAACAGGACAATTTAGAGCACTGTTGATACTGCAAAGTAACAATTGAATAAGCTCTGTTGGAAAATTGTTTGAAGTCAGCGACATTTGTTTTGTTTCTTTAATCATATTTACTCACTTTTGTCTGGTATTTTCAAAAATTATAAAAAATTTAGAAAATTTATTAATCATAGTTTAGTTGTAAAAATTAAATAATCGTCTCATTATTAGCTTATTATCTTTAAATATAAAAATTACGTGTCACATTGTTTGTCCGCGATGAACTCCTAAACTACTAAACTGATTGCAATGAAATTTTGCACACTGTGTGCAGTTTGGTCCAACTTGAGAGAGGATAGTTTTTATCCCTATAAGTGACCCCAAATATTTTTATTACGAATTTAAGAATTTTTATAGGACTACCTGGCCAGCTAGTATTATTATAATCTATATCTATACATATAAATAAAATTTAAGTGTCTGGTCTATAATATAAAAATAACTGGCTTCTTGTAATCTCAAGGTTTTATTTGCACGCTATTTAGACATCAATATCGATTTTCAAAATGTTTGTGTGTCTGGTTTTTAATCAGTCGACTGTCCGAGCTAATCTTCGGAATGGCCGAACCGAATATGATGAAACTTCACGAACACATAGAGAACAAAGACAGGATTTATGATTTTTATGATTTATGATTATATTTTTCTGATAAATTTGGTTGTTTGTGAAATCGGCAAATTTCTAAAATGAATGGTTTTTGATAATTATCTTAAATCTACAAAGCGTTTCCGTTAGAGCCTATTAAAGTCCGCTGCTGAATATAGGTCTCCTCCCCCATAGATTGCCCCATAGGAATGATATTTTCCCTATTCGCCACGCTCGGCAAGCGGGTTCTACAACGCAGTTTTTTTTTTTGCGTGCGTGCGTGCGTGCGTGCGTGGGTGCGTGCGTGCGTTCGTGCGTGCGTGCGTGCGTGCGTGCGTGCGCGCGCGCGTGTGTGTGTGTGTGTGTGTGTGTGTGTGTGTGTGTGTGTGTGTGTGTGTGTGTGTGTAACTTTCACAATATTGATTACGAAATTAAATACAAAGTTGGTTATACAGGCAGGCCACACCTCAAACCCCTATCCATCCATTACAGTCTATATAACTCCACCGCTGAACATACGCCCACCTGCCATAGTTCCAACATTTGACAGGTAGATTGTTTTCGGAGAAATGCTGTTGCCTATTTCCTATCTCATTGTCCGCCTTACTACACCTACGAAACGATACTCGTATGGGATAGTTGATTGGGGTAGTAGGGGTCCCTATACATAGTTTTATATTAAACAATCGCCTCTTCCAATAATTATGAATTTAAAATATTATATATTATAACTTGCTTGTATAGTTGTAGCACGAATGGGTCGGCTCGACCGGGGAAGGACCACGCTCTCACAGAATACCAGCGTAAAATAGCAGCTTAATGCTGCTGTGTTTCGTAGGGTGAGTGTAGAGAAACGGAAACCCTTTTTACTAGAAAAGAGGCATTCCATCTTAGTCCTCACAGGTGACAACGCATCTGCATTTTGATTCACAAACGATAATAAATGTAGATGTCGATGGGCCACAGCAACCACTTACCATCAGGTGGACTGTTTTGTCACCCTATCCTATAAAAAAAAGAATATTTTTGTAAATACTAAACTTAAACTTTAAATTACCCACTAGGCTACGTATATAACAAGTTTTCCAATGAGGGTCACATTTGGGATCGGCTGAGCCGTCGACCGTGAAATTGCAGCGCGTTTTCTAACCTAGATCGCAGTGACAAGATCATTACGATTTGGGATAATGGAGCGGTCTATGATACGTTATGGTTAATTATTTGAAACCAATTTAAAATCTCTTTCTTTTTAATAAAAAAAGTAATAGAGATTTTATAACATTGTATTTAAAACACCTTTCAAAGAATTCGTGTGCATGTCACCCTCATTTATAGCGTCCATAAAACTGGAATATTCCCCAAAAATATCCTAAATTTTATTAGGTCAAAATTTGATGAGTTAGTTTACATAAAATTATGTTATCATAAATACCCAAAAATATCTTACATTTAAAAAATCAACTAAAATACTGAAACTTTCTTAATTACCAGTTTATTTTCAAATCTAATGGTGTTCTATAAATTAAATTCTTACATATTTTATTGTGTTATGTAAACTTCTGCCATGTTGTTCAGGCGTAAGAGAATCAACTAATCATTCATCCCGTGGGTGCCGTAAGAGGCGCAAGAGGGTAATAAAATAGGAGTTCGGCAGCATACTGCTCCTTACAACTCAAAATTAAAAAAAAATGTGACGCCTCCCCAGCGGGGCAACTATAGCAAACATCCTCTCTATAGGACAAAGAGGCTTTTAATAGACTGTGATAAATGAATGAACGCTATAATCTTAACACCATTATCTTATGGACGTTTTTTGTTATAGATGTGTTTTGTTATTTCATGGCTCCGTGGCCCAGTTGCTTAGCAATGTGTTGTACGGGCGGCACTGAAAATTTCTGGAATCAAGGAAGTGACACAACAATACTATTTAGAAATGTATTTATTGCTTTTCGAAGTATTCTCCGCGAAATTTGACACATTTTTCCATAAGATGGAACCAATCATTGAAGCAACCATTCCATTCGGAAGTTGGGGTCTCCAAAATGGCCGTTTTGTAGGCGTCCACAGCTTCTTCAGGTGATGAAAATCTCTGTCCGCGCAATTTATTCTTTATTTTAGGTAAAGTATAGAAATCATTAGGGCTTAGGTCGGGGCTGTACGGCGGATGGTCTAATAATTCTATGTTTTCTTGCTCTAAAAACTCTTTTGTTCTGTGTGCGGTGTGAGAACTCGCATTGTCGTGATGGAGGATGATGCGGCGGTTGCAGTTCTCTTTACGGAGTTCAGAAACGACCTGTGGCAAACAAATGCTAGCATACCATTCTGTATTATCCGTTCTTTGTCCTTCAAGAGGAATAGTCGTAACATGGCCGGTTTTGAAGACAAACGTGGCCACCATTTTTTTTGCAACACTCCGTGAACGAACAATTTTTGCTGGCTTTAACTCATTTTCAAACACCCAAACTCGTGACGGGTTTTTTGTTTCGGGTTCGTGCGCATTTATTCAGAATTCGTCACCTGATACGATGTTGTATACAGCATTTGAGGATCCTGCGTGGAATCTTTCGAGAGTTCTGACGCACCAAGTAACGCGAGCCGCTTTTTGCTATTTACAGAGCGAATGCGGTATCCATCGGGAAAACAACTTTTTTACACCTAATTGTTCATGCAAGATTATTTGTATTTGACTCATGCCAATGTCTAAAGTTGCCTGAATTTCGCGTCTGTCGCTGTCGATCTTCCTCAATCAGCTTACGCACAGCATCAACGTTTTCTTGGGTGACTGCAGTTTTTGGACGACCTTGACGGGGATCATCTTTGAGCTTGACACGTCCACGTTGAAATTCAGCAAACCAGCGATAAATTGTGGTTTTGGATGGGGCTTCATCACCAAATGCAGAAATCATCCGGTCAACACACTGTTTTTGTATTAAACCACTTCGAAACTCATAATAAATCATCGCTCTTGAATTTTCTCGAGTCAATTCCATTTTTTCAACGACTAAACAAGTTTGACAAAACCTTATGACAAGACCGAGAATCTTTTTTTAAATAAATAAATGGTATTCGATTTTTAAAACCAAGGATTTTTTTAATTAAAAAAATATTAATATGACAGGAACAGTGGAAATATTCCATTCCCGATACTTTTAGTGCAGCCTATGTAGTACTGGGGGCCGCGGATACGAATCCTGCTCGGAACAAGTATTCGTATGGCCTACAAATATTTGTTCCGGGTCTTGATGGAGGACAAGCCCTTGTGCAATTTATGTTTGTAAACTGCCTCCACGATACAGGAGAAAACCCTAGGGAAGGGATAACGTTTCTTAAAAAAAAGATTTAAAATGAAAAATGAAATATGGACTAATACTAATTTATACATCAAAAATATTCCTTACTAGTCACTACGTCTATGAAGATTTATAGAATTTTAATTGATATATAGGTGCTGATTTTAGAGCCCAGCTGCAGCTATATTATTGTTGTTATGTACGAATGGGTCGACTTGACGGGAGATGAACTGAATACCAGCGTGATAACGCATCTGCATTTGTATCCATCTTCCTAGAATATATGCGAAATTATTTTTAATAATTCCCTCTTAAAAATAATAATTACGTATTTGTCATCCAATATTCAAAGGTTTTATTTCGCGCCATCACCTAAGAACTCAGTACGGTATTTATTATTAAATGCGTCGGTGAAAACGACACACAAGCTTAAGTTTATTTGAATAATGTTTTCGTAGATGCTTGCTCTCTGTATGTGCCAATTCTACTGTTCCCTCCATATCTCCGCACAATAGCGCAGACACATTATATTTATCACTTTTATTATACCTAGCTGACAATAGAAACTACGCGGTACCTTTGAAAGGATATTTTAATCACTCTAATGCGTCGCGCTGCTGGGAGTCGTTGGTTATCACTATGCAATTGAAACCGATCTACTGCCGCTTTCTTAACAAATACGTATTGTGAGAATTTCCATTTAAAGCTGCCGTTTCATAAATAAAAATTACGAGATTTTTTTTATTCACTGATCAGCCATAAATGTTGTTATTTAATAAGAATAAGCACAAAATCCACCTGATTGTAAGTAGAGGCTGTGGCTGTAGGCAGCTTTCCTCAAAAAAGAATAAACGAGCAGATGCGTTGTCAGCCCTGAGGACTAAGATGGAATGCCTCTTTTCCATTAAAAGAGGTCTTCGGTTCTTTAGACTCACCATACAAAACACAGCAGCACTGCACTGTTAATTTACAATGATATTCTGTGAGAGCGTGGTCCTGGCATGGCTTTACCACGTACACGTGCGTGATGCTATTGATGGCATAAGAATCTGGGATGCGGTCCTTCACTTCTAGCCATATAAGTTCGTTTAGCGAGCTAGTACTCGAAACTTCAAGCATAGCAGATATGCTTGGAGTTTCTCAACGCGATAGAGTTCGTCAAAAAGATATCCGAATTAAAACCGGAGTAACTAACATAGCTAAAGGGATCAGTAAGTTGAGGTGGCAATGGGTCAGCAAGTAGAACTGACAATCGAAGGGTAAGAAAGCTTTCATGTAACCCCCAGATGTAACGTGTCCAGTGAAGGCATGCAGGAAGTCGACGGAATTAGAGATTATTTTTTTCACTTGTGTACAACTATTACTAATAACTAAGTAGTTTTTGTTATGTATTCCACTTAAATTACCATGTACATTAGGTAGTCATTTTATGTTTAGGTGTCAGTTCCCTATCATTACAAAAACACTCAAAGCTTCCGTGAATTTAAATAGTCATAGAGAAAGTGGTTTAAAGCTACTTATTACATTTTGTAATTTCTATCATGGGCAGATAAGCGATATTGATTCTTTTGTCTTGTGCTTCACGTTACTTACAAATTTACAGTTTCGGATTGCGTCGAAAGGGATGAAATTTTGGCGTTTCTATATGTGCAAAATATGTGGCCTATTCATTTAGAATGTTTGGCATGAAAAAGTGTGAACCGCAAAATTTGCACTTAGTACGTTTGTCTTCTAAACCATCGAAATGATGATGACAACCCAAAGCCTGGTAGTTGTTAGAGATCTACCAATGCTATTAACTTAAAGGATAATAGATCAGTAATAAATCTAACTTGTTGTACTTTATTTGCCGAGCGTTTATACCCTGAGCTACCACGGCTACGCCAAGCTAAACCTACGTCTACGACAACGGATACGGCAACGGCTACGCCTATGGCTAAGCCACAGAGCTAGGCGCTCGTTATTAATATCACAATACGCGGGCAACCTGGACTCGATCCCCTCCAGTGCCATTTAAATAGTTAGTTGCAATTTGAAGTGCCGATTTACCAATTGCTCCGAATGGAAAATATTGTGAGGAAATTCGCATGCCTAAGACATTGAAAATTATAATAGGTCGGGGAAGAAGGGACTTCGTATTTTGTTTGTATGAAATTGAAGAAAAACCTCTTCTGTTGTGCATTTTGAATCTGGCTGGTTATAATATCAATATATATATATAGGAGATTAAGAAAAACCAAAATAAAAAGTAAAAATCACTTTCCCGCCACTTTTCAATATTTTTTTGTCTGCCAAAATGAGTGAATGTAACGAAGTAACATGATACATTACGAATTTTATTACAAAAAAGGGAAAAATGTGACTCAAGCCGCTAAAAAGTAGTGACGTTTATGAACTTAATTCAGTGTTAGTAAGAGTAGCACAAAGTTGGTTCAAGCGTTTTCAGGCCGGGAATTTTGATGTCAAAGATGCAGCTCGCTTTGGTCGCCCTCAAACGGATAAAGTTGATACCATTATAAAACAGTGGAGCAAGATCGGCATATATAGTAATTACGACATAGCAGATGAATTAAGCATTGACCACAAAACAGTTTTAACCCATTTTAAAAGGTTATACAAAAAAGCTCGATATTTGGGTACCACACGAGCTCACTAAAAGAAACCTAATGAATCGTGTACTCATTTGCGATTCTCTATTGAAAGGTAATGAAACCGATTTTATTGAAAAATATTGATTATTGGTGATGAAAAGTAGATCACCATCGATAAGAACGTGCGAAAAAGATCATGGTCAAAGGATAGTCAATCTCCAGAAACTGTAGCGAAACCCGGATTAACACAATAAGGTGATGTTGTGTGTATTGTCGGATTGGAAGGGCATTGTTTATTATGAGATTTTATCGACGGGCAAAATCATCGATTCGGGTCTCTACTATCAACAACTGATGAGACTCAAGCAAAAACTTGAGAAGGAATGGCTGGAATAGATCAACAGATAAAGAGTGGTGTATTTTGCCTTTCAGCAAAAATTGAGAGAGCTTGGTTGGGAAGTGTCTGCACCATCATATTTTCACCTTTATCGGTCTCTTTGGGTAGTGTTAGGTTAACATCAAAAGAGAACTGTCAAAACTACTTGTCGCATTTTTTTGATCAAAAATCCCAAGATTTCTACAGCAACGGGATTGTGTCACTACCTACAAGATGAAAAAAAAACAGTTATTGAATAAAATGGCACGTATATATTATACATAAATATAATCACACTTAGAAATAAAATGTCTACAATTTGTATATAAAATACGAAGAAACTCTTTCCCCGACCTTTTCGAATTATTTGAAGTCCGCCAACACGCATTGGGAAAGCGCGGCGTACATATCCATGCCTTAAAACCATCTCAGAAATGATGAATATTAAAATTGATTGATTGCTATCTATTACTAAATATTTCAAGATCGAAGTTGCTAAAGACTAAAGTCATTATATCGACTCGAAATTAATTTTGCAAACATTTTGATCTAGATAAGTTTTTATTAATTCGGTTCAATATTTTTATTACAAAAAAAAAGCACAACGAGTTTGCAAATTAGCAACAAATAGGGCAACTCCCTAGTTAGAGTGGACAAACCAAATCACGCCCGTACTTATTTTATCTTATCCTAAATTACGACTAGTATGTAGTCAGGAAAAATGGGAATAAAGGTAAAATTGTGAGAAAAATATGTTTCATATTATTTTTACAAGATAAAGAAGTGTAGCACTTAAAACCTTCGTGTATACCGCAGTAGATTCGTTATTAAGTTGACAAGGTTCTAAATTGACTTTCACTTCTCATGAAGCCGACATCAATAGGTTACCATGTTGCTGATATTGGTTTATACGAGTAGCGACGTGAAAATGAAGTCTTCGTAAGTTTCAAACGTAGTTGATTATCAAAAGTTTCCAAATGGTAATTAACTACTGTCGTATTATAAATAAACCTTAAATAGACTGAAAAAGTTTATAACATAGAGGTATACATAAATTTTACATGGATAAACATCCAAACCTGGAACAATTCGCCATACATTTGAACTCGCGGGTCCGCAACACCGAAGCTGAAAGCTTAAC